AACGTTTTCAGGAAATTTTAATTTTTTTAGAAAATCGAGCTCCACCCTTGGAAAAATTTCGGCCAAAAATCAAAATTTCGCATGTATGTTTTTTGAACTCAATCGATTTTTTTTGACGTAAGAAAGTCATAGCGTATGGGTCCATAATAAGGCAAAATTCGTTGGTTAAAGATCCCGAACCCTCAAAAAACGCTTAAAATGTACCGAAAATCTCTAAAAACTTCTAACAAGGTTAGCAATGAGTTCGATGCACTCCTGGCGTCCGGGGGATGAAAATGCTAAATGAAAAAAACCCTGACTGTGGAAACACCTGCACTTTTTCCAAAATTGACGCAAAATCCAGTCCAGAGAAAAAGAGCGAGTTCTTTTTCAAATTGGACCAAACATTCAAAATAACGGCCTAACATGGTGGCGGCATCTCGGCTCAAATCTTCGAAACAGTTTTCTGTTACCCGGGCGAATTTACTCCGGTGTGGAACTTTCTGTAAAACATCCCGAACAGCGCGCCATCTCTGAATCGCGCCTCGCCCTAACCGAGCTTTTTCGGATTTTGGCGAAGGCCTAAAAGCTCTAAATGGGGCCTGCAGCAGTTCATGATCAGACGGTTTTCACACAGTTATTTAGATGGCGCCGTGAGGTGAAAACCTCCAAAATATTTCATAGTGTTTTCCATAGTCAACTATTTGGAGTTTGTAGTTTTTTCTTCAGGAATAATTTTATTGAATTTTCTGTGTTTTTTTTGGCAAATTCTTCACAAACAGAACAGACATTAACTGAAAAATTGTTTTTAGTCCCATCGTTAAAAGCCAGCGAATGAACCAGTCCCAGCCGCCAGCCCAGTCTCGTGAGACGTAACAGACTATAAAAAGGGTTATTCTATCTTGTTCACGTTCGGAACTTCTTATCGGAATTAATGGCAAAGCTTTTAGTTTAAAAGGTGATCTGGTGCTAACTACTTGAATTTTTCTCCCAAAAATAAAGGATGTAAACCAGAGCCCGCAGAGATAATCGTGCTATTAATATTTCACTAGGCAAATTTAAAAATGCTCGATGTGTCTGGTTCGTTTGCATTTTTATTGACTGCAACATCGGAGAGAAACTCATCGGCCTAATTTTAGCACTGTTTTCAATGCGTTTGAGTTTCGTTTGAAAATCATCACAATGGATGATTTTGAGCAACAATATTTTAGAATAACGCCGTAATCTCGATTTTTTTTTTCGACTTCACGTCCACTTCAGATTTTCGAACTGACTTCAAAGTAAATTTTGACCGCTGGGAAATAATGGGGATCGGTTTGGTGTGGCCTTCAGAATAAAAACTGCAGAGTCAATTACCAAGGTTTCGGAAAATGAATTTCCTTC